GAACCCCTCCGATCCGAGAATCGAATCTCGAATATATAATTATTCCAAGATTACTTTTTTTTTTTAAACCGTAACCTTAATTATTAGCTTGCAATTCATTCTTCGTTTCATCTATCCCGCAAGGCGTTTGGTTCCATCAAACCGGGTGGAAGGCTTGTTTTTTTTTTTTTTTTTAAATCATGACAAGGACAGAGATCATCACAAAAGTTTAGGGGGATTTGTTGATGTTATTTTTTTTCTTCTTCTTCAATTTTAACTTGATTTAGGGTATCTATTCATCATCTAGCCCTGACACAGCAGCTCGGGTCGGCAGATTTTATTTTTTTACTTGTTAACATTTTTCGCATTACATATAGATGTAAAGAGGCGTTCATGGGCGAACACGGAGGGGACGCATATACACGAAGACTTGGTCTAGCATACGGGGCGCGCTTCTTTTGACCCGGTCTATTTTTATATTTATCTTTATTACTTTTCTTTATTCTAACTACCGCGTTACTACTCGCGGGAATCTTTTTTTTTCACTTCGCTTTGGGGCACAGAGATTTATCGGGGTAGTTATGACGGCCCGTGATGATGACGACAATGGGAGGATAAGATGAGGTAGGTTAGGGACAGGGACGGGGACGGGGACGGGATATGAAGTCATGTTGCACATACATAGATATATATCCTGGGACCTGCCTGCTCGCGCACACATATATGAGCCTATGAGGTAGTAATTGAAACGAGTGAAAAATAGGAATCACAAATTGATAGTATATGATATGTCTTGCCTTGAAGACGAATGTGATAATAAAACTATACTTATGACGGCGCCATTTGCGTGTTCAATATAAGTAGTAGCATAGCGTATATATAAAACATAAATCTTGCTTGGAAGCAGATTGAAAATCTAAATATGATGTTATAAGCATATCTCGTATCGTCTAAAGTCGTCTCGGGCGGTATAAAATCAACAGGACTAGAGGTTAAAATCGCATGTATCTAAGTAGGCGCATAGATACAAACTTGACCTATAGACATATTCCTGAGACACGACCAAGCCCAAACCCCTTTTCCATATCTCATACCTCTACCTCCACCTCCACCTCCCAGATCTCCAAACCAACGCCGACTACTATCACCTTTTTCTTACCCTTACCCTTACCCTCTCCATCTCCATCTCCATCTTCATCTCCATCTTCATCTCTGCCCCCAAAGACATCCAAATCCCCCGCATCAGCAACAGAGCTATACCGCTCATCCAACAACTGCACCCTCGCCTGCTGCTGCTGCTGCTGCCACCCAAGCAGCCTCCAGACCCTAACGCGCTGGTCATTGCTCCCCGTGACGACGAGCGCGCTGTCTTCCCTCACGTGCGCGAAAGCCACGCCCGTGATGGCTGCGGCGTGCGCGGAGCGGATGAGGGACTTGCTCTTGATTGTGATGATTATTGCGTCACCTTGCGATTCGGAGGAAGGTGAGGAAAAAGAAGAAGAAATAGGGGTGTTAGAGATACGGATATGTGTGACGCCTAACGCGTTGTCGTCGCCGCCCGTGACGATGAGGTATTCCGAGGCCCCGTCATCTTGGATAGCTACCTGCCGCACATCGAGGGATTTAATCGTGTTCTGGTGCAGCTTTACGACGGCAAGTGTAGCGTCGGTATCACCCAGGCTTTTGCCATCCACTTCGGGGTTCGATTTCGAGTAGATAGCTAGATATCCATCGGTAGCCGCAGTCAAGACATGGTTGTTCTCTAACTGGCGTACTTGCGTAAGACACGCTCCCGTGTACGTTGACCTTCTTAATAAACGGAACCCTGATGCACGGCTGTAGGTATACGTCTGCAGCGTTGAGTTCGATAGGACCATAGATATGGCAAACTCATATCCGCCATCACTATCGCGTGCGGTACAAGTCACGTCAAAATCGATAATGCGGGCGTCTCCCACTTCAGTTCGGTCAGGGAACACAGCTTCGCATACAACGGCAAGCCCGTTCAAGTCGCTACATTGGAGCTGGTTGATCTTCCATACGAAGAATTCCTCGTTACCGCCACTACTAAATAGGTACTCATTTTTGTACCATTTCAGGGCTTGAATACCCGTAGCATGCCTCTCTAGCGCCGCGACGCAGTGTAGCCTAGGGTCGTTGCTATTGTGTTCATCATGTTGATGGTCGTGGTCGTTATATTCCCATATCCGTATCACAGTGTCTTCAGTGGCCGTGGCAATGTAGCGCCCTGTAGAGGCGCTCACCGCCTTAATTTCACGACCGTGGCCCCCTGGCTTGAGCGTCTTGTGTGATGCACATGTCTGCGAAAAGATGTGCATCTGCCCCGCCTTGGTAAACACAAATCGAAATCCATCATGCCGGTATCTCAGGGGAGTCCAAGCGTAGCTCCGTGAGGAGCCTCCACAATCGACTGTGGCAACCTCGTGACGCTGGGTTTCGTTCCAGACCACTAGGTTACTACTCCGAAAACCGCAGAGCATAAGATCCTTGGTCCCATCGCCGTTATCGGAGAACCAAGCCCCCTCGATAGATGACACAAACGGCAGCAATATCTCATGAACCAATATAACCAGTATGGCGTTGGGTTGGCTAGCCGCTGTTAAGATTTCATGGATCCTGTATCTTCCATCGCGACACGTGCTCAAGATGTAGTTGTGTGGTTGGTCATCGCCATTGCTAAGGGGTAGCAACGAGGTGATTGCTTCATCTCTCTGCACCTCGATAGTAAAAATGGCGGAATATTTGCCACCATCGCCTTGTTTAAGGACAACGATGACTCCTTTCCTAGACCCGAGAATAAGATACCCCTGAGTGAATGTAGCAGCAGTAACCATAAAACCTAGTTCTAAGGCTACTTCGGTGTGCTTTAGCGCCAAATTCTGAGGATCAAATTGGATGAGGGCAGCATTGGTACTGCGTGGGATGGTAACGAGAAAATCCACATGGCTATTGCCGGACCTTACTCTGGCATCAGATAGGCAGAAGATATCCGCCACCTTTCCATTTACTTTAGTCATTAGTTGAAGAGATGCACCCCCCGATTCTCCATAATAGTAAATCTCACCATTATTCGTGCCAACAAGAGCTATATGATTAGTTACGGGTGCTCCGAGGAGAGGATGTGAGAAGATTATCTGGCCAATCTCGTCAGGGAGAGTTAGCTCTGTCCATATGAGTCCATCCTCAAAAACACCAACAAATATTCGGCCTGAATTCGTGGCAGCAAGAAGTCGACTGTCGGAGATGAATGTATACCGGTTGAACCCCTCTTTTGCGTTTTTGGGATTGGTACCCTGCGAAGGCAAGGTTAAACTGGTCGAAACGCCGTTTAACCTCTCAGGGTCAGCTGTCGCATGATTTTCTTGGGAAGACCGTATTACATCTGAGAGAGACCACGTAACACTTTTCCTCTCATCTGATACTCTACTGGTGGGCTTTATCTGGTCACCGCCTGTCACCCTCAGAGATGGAGATTCCACGCCAGTTCCCATTAGAGCAATCTTTCCATCAGCACCGCCAGTTGCAATCAGGAGATCATCACCATTGGATGTCATAGTGTGAGACCAAATATGTTTCCCACTATGATTTGAGGCAGTAGACTGTTGAGTCAACTTAGCGGGCTTAATGGAAGAATCGCAGACGTCGGGCCCCTGAGCTTGTGTGTCTAAAGAGAGTTTCCATTTCTGCGCCGTAGCATCTTCACCAAACGAGTAAAGTTCAACGATATTGGAGGTCTCGGATAACGGTTGGAACTGTGGAAATTCGACCTGCCATATCCTTGACGCATGTCCCATGACCGCAGCTAAGCACCTTGTCGACTGGTCGTCGTGAGCTGTGCCCTCAGTATTATATCCGAATCCTGTCTCACGCGCTTCCGAGATATGATCGCCATACCCGTTCTGGCTTTGGTGTCCGGACTTCCCGCGTCTTTCAGTGATATCCCAAACTCGAATAGTCCTATCGTCACTACAGCTTGCCAGCAGCCTCAGCGTCTCTCCCTGCGAAGTTTGAATCTCAGGGGAAATATGGACTCCGAAGATTGAACCCTCATGACCGGTAAATACGGAGAGGACCTCACAATTCTGCTTCTGTTCAATATTTTCCAGATAGCATTTCCAGACAATGATCTCTCCAAATACCGTTCCAGCGGCCACGAGTACGCACTCCCTTGACACCCAAAAGAAGTTACCCGAATATAAAATGGGCCTTGAAGGTGATTGGATACTATTGAAAATAAGAGAACTCTGGTCTTGGTCTACGCGGGCCTGGATAACCTCGTTATGGGCGGTAAGTAGCACAATACGACCGTCTCCAAAGGGTGAGATCCTACCGTCGAAAATCCAATCTGGCGCCCTAGCCTCCACATTTTTTGACAAATCCGGCCTGCTAACATGGCCTTGAATAGTACCTTCAATTATGTCATTAGATATAACTCTGACATGGTGCCCACCCCAGATCAGGATCAGATGAGGCTGCTTAGATGCATCTAGCGATGGCACAGAGATTCCGTGGATGGACTGAGCCTGGAATATGGGTAGCTGACCGCAAAAGCAGGAGGTTTGAACATGGTATATCTTAATATCCGCGTCTTCCCCAGCTAAGAGGTATTGTTGTCCATTGTCCTGTGACGTATAGAAGGCCAAGGCCGTAATAGGATTCAGCACATGTTCCCGGTATAGGTTGCCGAGAGCAGCCAGCTATATTTAGGGGTTAGTTAGGTACCTAATGTATGCATATGTATTTGAAGTGATATAAAAAAAATGCGTAGATTAGTAGTTCGACAATGTGCATGGGAACATTATGAACGGATGAGAGCAATTGAATTTTTATTTACCTCGCGAGACATCGGGTTCGATTACTCGTCGTGATTTCCATATGTGACTTAAATAATGAATAATGAATAATAAAAGAATAGGTTAGAGGTTGAATTTTAACTTAGGCTCTTGCACCAGACGTGGATAAAACTATGTAAACCCACTTTGCATAATATTTACTTTTAATTGCATTCGTATTGAGTTTATTTATTAAATGAAAGCCTAAATGGAAAGCCTAAGTTGGATATTTCCACGCATAATAAGAAAGTATTAGTTGCGCAACACCAACCATAACACTTAGAAGGCCAAAAAGGGCCGCAAAGAACAAGCCTGCGATCGCCACGGTTAAAGCATTCCTTTCCGATGTGTGCCTTTCGATCCAAGAAATAAGTGTATTTGTAGGCGGCGGATGAGCCACAACATCTTCCAGCCGCCGTAATCGCTTCCCCCAAAAAGCCAGCTCGAAAGGTTCCGACATGGGATGAATAATACCAGGATCCAGCATTAAACTATCGTCGAAACGTCCATTCTGCTCATTAACTAATTGTCTGGTAAACTTGGCTGATTTTTCGTCGAGAGGGAATAAAATCCGATAAATCGAATATAGTGTCTCGCGCAGAATCCGTGGTGGTAGGATACCCCTGAACACATTAGCCCCATTCAAGACACTTCCTATTAGCAATACCTTTCTATATATTCTTTATCCGTTACTATACCACTACACTCAGCCGCATACCTCAGTTGGGCTTTCAGCCAAGCAACTTGATGGAACACGGTCAAGGTCCTGCTTCTAGGATCATATAGCAAGTGCTGGATTAGGTCATTTGTTGGCACGATGGATACTCCATGACGCTTTTTGAGCTTCCAGGCTTTGAGCTTGTTGTGAGTCTCCGTAGCTCGGTATACTGAAGGAGCAAAAGTGGCTTGGATGAAGTCAACCAAACTCTGATCGTCTTTCCAATTCACAGGGAAAGTATCCCCGAAACGAAGTTGGAAGTCATCAGAGAAGCTCTTGTAGGACGCCGTATCCAACATGAAGGCAACTTTTACCAGCGTTCTTAAAGATTGTTCCTGCTTATCTTTGGGTATATCGGGGAATAATTGCCCAATGAGGGTCTCCTTGGATGTTCCACATTGGGACCTCAATATTGAGATTGCCTTAATAACGTCTATAGACGATGCTAGGGGGTGCGTGAAAGAATTAGTAAGTGTACCAGTGGGAAACAAGTCGGCACATAGAGTATTGCAATAAAAGCGAAAGAAAGCATGGAATTGATCATGGGATGATTCCGGGCTGTGACAAAGAGTCTCGATAATATCCTTATCGATCAGCGACGCTGGTGGAATACAGTTGATGTTCATCGTGACGGCATCAAAATTCAATTGGTGGTAGATAATATGAAGAGGAGGTGGCGAACGAAGGTCGCTTTAATAACAACGTGGAATTCAACGGGTTATACTCGTTAGGAGGTAACTACAACGATATATTCCAAGAGAAATCCGCCCCCAACTCCTGTCATCTTAGTGCTGAGAGCCAAGACTTGACTTGGTGCAACAAGAACGAAAACGCCTACCACCACACCGATCAATTATTCCGTATGGAAGAATGATATTGGGTCGACCACGCGGCTGAGGCTGAGGCAGCCCGCATGGCGGTGATCGATATAATATGTTACCAAATCCAATTATCCTTGGAATTTATCCCACTTCTACTGCCCCCTATCAGTATCTATTATAAACACCCAGAAAACGTATATTATATCCTTATTATTTTTGCCCCTTAGGTTTACCATCATCAACCGTGATGCCCTTTTATCCTGGGCAAGGTCGGGCGATCCAAGAGATCAAAGAAATTTATAATAAGCTTGCACAACTTCGCAGGCAGATTCCGAAGGTCGACACAGATCAGGACCAAGATACTGAAATCGAAGAACCCGGACAGCGTGCAAATAAGGGAGGAGGCAGGTGGTGGCATAATATGACCGGATTCTACGAAGGCATCACGCAGCAGTCCGAGGGATGCGGACTACCCAGAGGTAATGATCTGGAAATAAAACTGCGCCTACAATGAAGTCTAAACATATGCTAAACGGGTTTAGCCTCGTCGAGTGAGTGTGTGAAGCGCTTCCCTGAAGCTTTCCGAAACCCTTTAATGATACCATACATCAAAAGTCCGGTTCCGATCTATGTCTATCCACATGCCGAGGAATATATCGGTACGGCACATCTTGACAGATTTAAGGCAGTCGTTAATATATTCAGACACTCGATCGAGCAGAATCGTAAATTGTCAACAGCGAGGGATTGGATGGAGAAGATATCATACAGCCTTGCGATGTGCGGCACAGACATGGCCAGTGCTAAAGCTTCGATAGTCGTCTCATGTCCTAGTGGCAATGATAAAATGGTGAGACAAGTCATGATAGTTCTCTCCAAGGAACATATTCTTGACCAATATGCACATGGACATACCGAAGTGTCCTACCAGTTATATATCTGGAGAGAAGCATTTAAATACGTTGGAGGGACGGGGGATTTTGTCGACATCCACTTCAATAGTGGATATTCTCTGTGTGGTTCTCCAGTCACCGACGTTTCGGAGGGAGTTCGCCTCTCTACAGTCGCTTGTATTATCAGGATAGAGTCCGAATTCTTTGCACTCACTTCAGCCCATCCCTTCGAATCTGAAGAAGAACCGCAAGATGACCCTGAGACTCCAGAAGATACAGAGTCTAACCCCATAATATTCGGTGGCGTTGAATATGATTTTACTGAGACGCCGTCGCCTCAGTCTAGACCTACAAGGAGTATCAACGCCAAACACTCATCGCATACCTTTGAGTATAAGCAACGACTATTTCGCCGCCCCGTGATTAGTTCATCGCTATCGACATTAAAATGCGTACCAGGTCAGCCTAATCTGGACTGGTCTCTTCTGAAGTTGCAAGATGCGAAGAACGTGGAACTAAACTCGGTCCAAATAATGGGACCTCAACAAGTCGAAAAGACTTACTATATTGACACCGAGCCGAGAACCAGACCGTCTAAGCAACGCCATGTCCGAATTATCACGTCACACCACACGGAGTCCAAAGGGACAATCAGCCCAATCCCCACCTATATATCCAATCAGAGAGACAACCATGACCTCTGCGAAGTCTGGACCGTCTCACTAACCTATGGACGAGGTATGGACAGCCTTCCGCAGCATAAATACCGGGGCTAACAGAACTCCAAGGACTTGAGATCGGTGACTCCGGGTCTCTAGTGGTAGACGAAGAAACATACGAAGCGTACGGCCATGTTATCGCGGTCGATCCCATGGGTAGAATATTCGTCATCCCGCTTGTCAATACCCTGAGCCAAATCCAAGGTTTATTTGGAACCATGGATGTAGATCTTTTCTCCAAGGACTGGATTATGCTTCCCAGCCGGCCTTTTATACCCCCCAACCCGTATGATTCAACGGGCTGGCACAAACTTGGGGGTTGAATGTCTTTTCGTAGTTAATATAAAAACTCCGAGAAAGCACGGTAGGAACAAGGGTTAGTAGCTATCGAGTAAATCGCGACAAGTTCTGGAGTCTCGCATACTTAAGTTGGGTATAAATTAATCCTCTCTTTCTACCCAGCTAGATTATCGATAGATCAATTGAAACAACCATAAGCCAAGGCCCGCTAGCAAATCAAGAAATGTTCGATGAATTACCTCCCCAGCTTCTAGTCCCTTTGAGAAGTCGAGTATATCTACCTCTTATTATCTTCATACGGTAGTTAGGCCTCTGATGTGGGTCTCAAAGCTACCCAAAAGGCTGGCCGCGTCTTATTATAGAAACCCATGTGTATAGCACATGCTGCAACGGTATGGTCTGCTCTATGGTTCCTGGAGCCCGTTCTTTGGACTACCATCTACTATATCTCGCACCTCATTTGTGCCACGTGCTCTAAGCTCCAGCTCAACCACACCGCTCGGTCCTAACTAGGCCAGCAACATATGTACACGTTGAGTTAGTTTCGGTAGTTAATAACGGAAGGCTACCTATTCACGATATCTTCACTGTGAGCACAATATACCAGATTTATATTCCAAAAGGGAAAGAGTATCTTTAATAAATACGTAGTACATTTAGGTCATTATATTCCGAACTGATATCATAATAATTCGCCATCTTCCCATCATGGGAAGCCACTCTATCTACCTCACACGCAGGTATCTGATAGCTTTTGCAGATACTGCCATCATCCAGTCTTGTCATACCCAGGCCCAAACGCCAACAGAACGCAAAAATTACAGGCCTGTAACCATCCATTTCATTGTAGATTGACTGATATTCTCCGTATTTAATGGGCATGAGAGTACGGCTCGTAGGCCAGGTCCGAGCGGGCACCACCACGTTGCGGGGCACCGTAGTTGTACCCGGAGTTGCGGTTATCACCGAGCGGCGCGTATGAGCCGGTGGGAATGAACTTCTCACCCTCGGCACCGTGTCCCGATCGTCGGTTGTAGGGACGGTTCTCGGGCTTGCAGCAGCAGATGGAGAATAGCCAGAAGAAGCTGGCACCGAGCGCGAAGGCAACACCAATCCAGACGCAAGCCAAGAAGTTGTTGTTCCAGCTGGCATCTCCACCGTATTTCGACGTGGCGGTCTTCGTTACACCGACCACGATAACAGCTAGCGCAGTCATCATAGATGCAGCGGCGATAACGAAGGCAGTAGCAATACCAGAAATGACCCAAGTCAGGCATGAGACGAAGCGAGAGCAAGCGGTGAACAGACCGACGGCTAACTCAAGGGCAAGGCCAATCATAGCAATGACGTAGACAACCTCGGTCCACTTGATGAGGGTCTTGAAAGTGCTCAAGGTGTCGTTCACCTCATCGGGAATGGTAATGTTAGCACCACCAAGCTGCTTGCCAAATTCATCAACCCACGAGGTGTTGAGATCCTCTTCAGCCCAGTTGAACTTGGCCTTAGTGCAGTTCTTAGCACCGTCGGTTGTTGTGGAGCAGTAGTTCCAGAGAGTAAACTGGTAGATCTTGTCGATACCGAGCTCAGCGGCGGTGATGTTGTCACCGGAGCCGGTAAGACTGCTGATGATACCGGAGATATCTGAGGCATCTTGCGGGGCTGGCGAGCGGGTGTTGTGCTGATTCAGGGGATTATAAATATTTTGGCTAATGCCCTTTTGGCCGTTGTTTACGGCATTGTCAACCTGATCCGAGATGCTTGCGGCGTTGGTAATGTTGGTAATGTTGCCGATGAGGCTTTGAAGGGATTCGGCATCGATAGTAACGTTCCTAGTATCGATTTCAAAAATGAATAGGCCGTTATTGGTGACACCGGTGAGACCAGCAATCAGCATAGAAATGATGCTGCCTACTGTCAATATGAATGGCAGAGCCACGCAGACATATCTTCCAACACTCATGATGCTATACCGGTCTATGTGCGACCGAGAGGGATATAATTATTTTACGGTTGTTGTAGTTTTTTTTTTGTTTCGTAACGAATGCAGACCGTTGACTTAAACGAAGGTAGGTACCTAAGGTTATATGGTTTGATGGGTTGATAAAAGGGTCGAAGATGGGAAAGACAACTGACCCAGCAACGGCGAGCGACAATAAATAAAGATGTAACAGTGATACGTGAACAAAGATGCACCGAAAAGAATAAGGTGCGTAAGCGGTTGTATTTATTACGCATGGGAGGGACGATCGGTAGGACTTGACTGGACTGACTTGGACTGACTGATCAAATCTAAGCAAGCGTGGCGCAGTTTCGGGCTACACAACCCAGCCCTCCGGCCCTTCTAACATGGCAGCATGGCGGGGGGACCCTTTCAAGTCGACGTCAGCCCATCACTAAAAAGTTGTCTAAGGGATGCTCAGCCCCGCTGTAAAAATACGCCAATGAGACGGGATGCCACCCCACTAGAAAAAAAAAACAAGTGACATTTGGTAACCCGTATTGCTGTAACACCACAGCCTGAAAGAAGCCCGTGAGGTAAGTTGTTTGTTTAGGTAATACATACCCGATAGACAGTAGTACCCAGGCGAGACATGTATGTAGCAGGGTCATGAACTTTTGCTGAACATGATTCCCTCTAACGTTTATGCCCAACATTTTTCATCAGAATGATTTTGACTATTTCTTAGGTATGCTACTACTAAAGCACCTCAAAAGCACCTCAGAAGCACCAGTAATGCAGTTTCACACAAGACAAGGCATGAATGCAGCAGCTGAAATAGAACAACTGCGCTAATATTTCGCTACACAAGACCAGTTAGGCAAATCGCAATTCCGGACTAGGTGATTGACTAGGGGCCCCAGCAAGCTTCAAACTCCTGCAGATATGCCGTATTGCTAACTACGACTCTATCACGTACTATGTACATAGTAGAGGTTGCATGTAGTCCCGATACTCCGACAAGAGCTCAGATAATTACGCTGTATTCAAAGCGAGAGAAAACAAACCAAAAGACCTACTGTAACATTTCGTTTGTCTGCCGCAGCAATCAAACACAGCTTGTGCGGCTTTACGTGGTGACACGGACGAAACAAAAAGAGGGGATACAGAGGCATAAAGTGGACGGGCCGCGTAGAGTCTCGAGAAAGCTCTTACATAATAATACCTAGTAGTTGGAAATGTTGATCAGCGTGTGGCTAATGGTCCTCGTGTGAAAATCGATTATTTAGATTGGGTATGTATGTTGTTGCGTGCGTCCCGCGTGTTCGAATACGTGGGCGTTGTGGCGTCAACGTATGTAGGTACAAGGTTCCCTTGAGGCGATGCCCTTGACGCGTCTTTATCTCCACCATACTAAGAATCTCTCATACGACAGACAAGACACATTAGCATGGCGATGCTATGAAAACATCAAAAAAGGTAGAGAACGCTTTTTGTTGCGTCTTGGATATCTGGAAGGGATGGTGCGATAGTCTAGATCATAGACTTGACAGCATCATGACAAATAAGGATGGTGTTGTTGAAGATGGAAATGAGGAGGATTGAAAGGGGGATTTCAAAGTCCAACATGATTGAAACCGGTGCCAAAGGTTATTATCAGCCGAACCATTTACCTCCCAGCTCTTTAAATGTGGCTGGGCTGGCTAGTGGGCCTTGGCGGGGTCCTGCTAGTCCCGCTAGGGTAGGTCGCGGGGCAGATCTTGAGGGGATCCTAAAAATAGTACCTAAGGAACCTTACCTTAGCTTGGAAAGTCCACTTATGGCTAGGGCCAACTAGCAGCAATACGTACCTTTCTCTAAGAACCGGCCTAAAACTCCATTCATTGAGGCAAGCAAACAAACTCTCCGGGCAGCCGAATTTTATATAAGAGATAATCGCTCTCACGTTGTCGGTTTCCGGACCCGAGAAAGGAACTTAAGCCGGAGATACCAAACTTCTCAGCCCTAGTTACCCCTTATAACTAGTTAAAAGGTATATAGAAGGGTTGTAGAATTTCGGCCTTGAACCTTGCCCGATCCGGAATACACCGATGGACTGGGTCACATCGGAGCCGTTTGCGGATATGGGTGATGGCATTAACGACCTTACCTCTTAGAAGGACGTCACAAAAGGTGGTGCACCTAGGTGCGCCAGTTATCTTGACGCCTTCACGCCTCCTCGCTACGATTCATTATCCGTCGGTGAGTTCCTTAATATAGAAGCTGTCAGGCTGTTAGACCGTGATACTTAGTCGCCCTACCCGATAATCCAATCAGCATTTTTCAAAGGATCTAACAGCTGCCGCGATGGCCTGATGACGGGTGACGTAGACGAAGCAAGGCATTGGCCTGTTGGGAGCGTAGGGCTCATGATGTTGTTAAACATGCAATAGTACTACCTCGACACTATCAAAGTATGAAGACTTTATCTTCCCGTTGCCGGAGCATTTCATACCGAAGCCATGATGAATTGTCCGGTTTCTTGCCGTCGAGCTGTCGCGTGCATACTAGTGGCACATAAAAGATGGTTGAAACTCGGTTTGAGCGGCAGGTTGATGTATTCTTATAGTATTATACTACGTATGCTATAGACGTCTAATAACTTTGTGACACGCGGGACAACCTGACGCAACGGATTCCTACTGGATCATTTACTTACCTATCTACTTAAAGGAATACCCAATATATGTTGCTTACCTAGGATGTGCTCTTGGCTAATCAATCTAGACTTGCTCGAGGCCTGGCGTGTATGCAACTGCCACGATGCCGGTATTAACTGTAGTGTCAAGCTTTCAGTAGACTCCAATAGAAACGACAGCCGAAGTTAGAATGATAAGTGCCAAGTAAGCAGACCTGACAAGCAGAAGCCAAGACGGTAGAAAAGACCACGATGGCTGCTTGCGATGCAGCGATGCTACCGATGTTACCGGGTTGCCTGTAATCGCCACCGCCAAGGATCGTGATGTCGATTATTCACTACCGCCAAAGCTTGGAGAGATACGGATTTTTGGGTTATATATGCAAATGGGAATGGTCAGCAACTAGAAACGGAGCATGGATGCTTAAGGTGTCTGTACCTATCGGACATCGAGAATCAACTGCCACTGTCCGGTTTAGGCAATACAAATCAAAGTAACGAACAAAAGCCGGGCTCGAAAGATGAGATCTTTGCAGTAGGTGCCATCGCGTTGCCTGATCGACGGGATTGTCAGTTTCTTATTGGAAGTCTAGTGAATTTTACTAGATTGCTCCCGTCTGCATGTCACCTTGATCTACTTGAAATGCCCGCTCTGTCGTTCCATTCGAAGCTGTTCGTCCGCAAATATCATTATATACTAAGAGGTTTTGGGCACCATATACGACCATTATATGTAAGGTGTAAACGGTAGGGAGGGGTGGAGGGAAACCTGACCTCCTAGGCTCCTACCGTACCTGGCAGGCTGGTCGTCGAGTCGGACGTATTATCATGAACCTTGACCAATTTAACCCCACACTGACAATTTATTATTATTTATTATTTTCGTAGTAAACGAGCCGAGTATGATACACGACTACATAGTCAACCACCAACAGCTCCGAGCTTTCTTTGTTACCGGTAGGACAAGGGAATCCACCCTTATACATTAGGTAGAGTTGGGTAACCTTTGGACGACTTGGACAAGTTGTTCAAGTCGACTCGAGCCGGAACGAAGGAGCCCCGCCAAAAATTACATAGCGGTCTGGAAGGTACGTCCTTCCACTAAACTTGCTAAACTTGCTAAACTTGCTGCAAGGTGTTCCGCCGCCCCAGTCGGACGGCGTCGCGGACTATTCGAAATGGAAGTAGCGGCTCCCCACTAAGAATAATATATGGTAGCATCAAATAGGTAGTACCTACATAGGTACCTACCTTAGGTAGATGATTAAAATCATGGAAGTAACCACCTTAAGATAAGCACCATAAGGTAGGCACCAGGGCATTTTGGCATTTTATCAATCGTCTGTCTAACGTCGACTGCAACTTCCCTCTTAATTTCCTAATCGTTTATTTAGCACGTCTGAATAATCTTGACGCGTTCGCATTGCTCTTTCTCTCTCTCTCTCTTTTTCTCCCTATTCCTTCTTCTTCTCTTCAACCCCATTCATCATTCATCATTCACCCCTTCTTCCAACTTATCACGAACCCCCAAAATTCCAACGTGCTGCATCCATTGTCCGGCCTTGATCCAACCGGCTTGCTCCTTTGAAAGCACACTACCGGAACCTCCCCTGAATAAAGCCACCTTTCTACTTCCAAATCGTGCATAGCAACCGTCAGGCCAATATAGCCCGACACCTGTCGTCACCCACGGACCTTGGAACCGTTTTTGACAAGTATAGCGGGACGTGCCCCTCGTCCTACGCACACACGCTCGTCGCGCGCACAGAAAATAAAAAGGAACCTTGCGACCTTAGCAACCTTGCGCATAGCCTAACGCTGTATAACAGTCCGATCAGGCTACTCTTCATATGCTAGGTAGGTGTCGTTTCTACATTTCTATTCTTCTTCTATGCTTCTTCTATATATCCTACACTAGGTACCTACATACATGCCTTAGGTACTTATAGTCATACACATATACCTACCTACCTACTATGTACCTACCTCTTAGGCATGCATAGTCCTACAATCACTCGTACATATCCCCATACTTACACATCCATACACGCATCCGTACACACATCCATACACACTACACACGCATACATACACATATATCTACTACCCTATAACTATCCTAAGCTACCCTAATACTGTATGTTATGTACACTATATGTACGGTGAGACGGCAACCCTCGTTGCTTGGCACCGCTACCAAAAGCTCCACTAGAGTCTAGCACGTTCTTCTGACCTCTTCCTTGGCCCCAGGGCCCTTCTCTTGGGTTATGTCCCCATGTCTTATCTTCCCTTTTTATTTTAACCTTACTCATCACCGTTCGCCGCATCTTAGACGAAGCAGACGAACAGCTTCTCCCCGCATTTTCCTTTGCTCTGGTGTATGTATTGTCCCCAAAAAGAGAGGAGAAAAGGGGAAATTTTATTAGACGGTCCAAAAATAATAATAGACGGTCCCAAACCTTCGCCGTCGTCATCATTATCAACTTCCCTCCCTTCGCACATCTCTTACCTCATCCTCTCCTCCGCAACTCCCCGGTCTATCTGAGACTTGCAACCAATTTCCCCAGCTTCCAAAACCCCCCCGCCGGATTGAACATACAACTGATCAACTGCCGACCCTCATACATGTACGACCTCAATCCGCATAGGCCCTGTCGCTGATTCTTCCGACCTGCAATTTAGATTAATTACATTACATCCAGCCTCAACCTCGCGAGCATAGCCTCTTACGCACGCAACACTGCTAGTCCTACATTTGCTCCCGACATCTCCGTTTGACTACGACATCATCCTACCCCATCCTTCACCTCGTCGTCCTCTCCCGCAACTCCCCGATACCTGCGAAAGACTGGCGCCCACTCTACGCCTTAGTTACAAAGACGGAGAACAAAACGGCTCCCACTTCTTCCGCCGCCCTCCTCCTCTCTGTCCTTGACCGACTATTTCATCCTCCCTAGCAGCGAGCTGGACATTAGCGAAGAATATTATCCGACCTGTCGCTGATATACGATCGACATATCGGCGGGCGCCTGGGCTTCCTATTCCTGCTTTCTGTTTCCACCTAAATTAACAATAAAAATTTTCTGCATCGCGAAGCTGGACTGATACTCACTGAGCATCGTCAACACTCGACACGAGACGATGGGAAACCAAGCCTCCAAAGAGGGGGGGAGCGGCAAGGGCTCAGGCGCATCCTCCGGAGACCGCGCCGAAAACTTGCAATCGTATCCCTCATTTGGAAAATCGGAGACCAAGGATTCTACCCGTTCGTTTAAAAACCTCCGATCAAAAATTCCTGGTGGTGGGAAGACAGATAGTCCACGAAGCTCGGCGATTATATCCAATGGAGATTCTGTCGGGGACAAATCGGACGCGGCCTCTGTAAAATCTGCGCGGAGTAGCAAATCGAGGACTGGACGTGCTGACTCAGTCGCTTCCCCATCATCCCCGCGATCACCGGACGCAAGCAACTCCCACTTGGGTGACAACCAACCGCCTCCTTCTCCTGTCCAATCTGCCTCCATTAGAACTGGTCATGGCGACATACATGCTGCCCAAGCTTGTGGTGAGGTGGACCACGTATCCGATCAACCGCCCACCGGGGTCGTGAACCCAAATCCGCATATACAACAACAACCCGGAGCACCGATCTTGGTGAAGAAGGAGAATACTATTAACCCTATCATATCGGTGCCGGGAACACCCTCGAAGGAGGATTCTCCTACCGGAGTTGCTATGAGTGACATCAAGGATATCGACCTTGATGATTTCATCAAGCGGCTCTTAGACGCCGCGTACGCTGGGAAAGTAACGAAGAGTGTATGTCTTAAGAATGCCGAGATTGTCGCCATCTGCCAGAGGGCACGAGAATGCCTTTTATCCCAGCCTGCGCTGCTGGAGCTTGATGCGCCGGTCAAGATCGTTGGCGACGTTCACGGCCAGTATACCGACCTGATTCGAATGTTCGAGATGTGCGGGTTTCCGCCGAGTGCAAACTATCTTTTCCTTGGGGACTACGTTGACAGGGGCAAGCAGTCCTTGGAGACGATCTTACTTTTACTGTGCTACAAGCTAAAGTATCCTGAGAATTTCTTCCTCCTGAGGGGGAACCATGAATGTGCCAACGTTACAAGGGTCTACGGCTTTTACGACGAATGCAAGCGAAGGTGCAACGTTAAGATTTGGAAGACGTTCATTGACTGTTTTAACACGCTTCCGATCGCTGCCATCGTTGCAGGAAAGATATTCTGTGTTCATGGTGGGTTGTCTCCGGCCCTAAGCCATATGGACGATATCCGTAATATTGCTCGCCCAACCGACGTCCCTGATTACGGTCTCCTTAACGACTTGCTATGGTCCGATCCCGCCGACATGGAAGCAGACTGGGAGGCCAACGAGAGAGGTGTCAGCTACTGTTTTGGTAAGAGGGTTATCACCGACTTTCTAGCAGCCCACGACTTTGATCTCGTCTGCCGAGCGCACATGGTTGTCGAAGACGGTTACGAATTTTTTAATGACAGAGTTTTAGTCACTGTCTTTAGCGCACCAAACGTAAGAGTGCACCATCTATCTATAACACTATGTACTAACTATTTATGTGTTAGTATTGCGGCGAATTCGATAACTGGGGAGCTGTCATGTCTGTGTCTGCGGAACTCTTATGCAGCTTTGAACTTTTGAAGCCACTTGATTCCTCTGCGCTCAAGAGCCATATTAAGAAAGGCCGAAACAAGCGCAACAACATGTTGAACAGCCCGGTACGTGATAATCACCGCTTTAGTCCATTTGCAAGAGTTTCCATGACTAACATTTTTCTTCATCAGCCCGCTAGCGTATATCCCCAGAGCGTATAAAACCTTCTCTGAAGGGCTTCTCAAGAGAAGGCCTTCGTGAAGTAATCATACCGACGAGTTCATTTCTCATGGAAACGAGTTGAAGGGTCCTAGGGGCTAAAGTATGGACCAGAGATGCATCCTTACGCCTACGGGCCTTCTTTCGTTTCGAATCATGACACTGCTAGAAGATAACCAAGAACTGCGGTGTGCGAGGGAAGGGACGGGATTTAGCGGCAAGCCCTGACACCAAAGTCGAACTTAGCCCGGTCAACCCAACCCTAAGGCAGCCTGTGCCGTTGGAATGGGAGGCGAGGGTGTAGCAATCCTTGCAAGCGAGAGCAAACCAGAAACGGTTGTGCTCGAGAAACAACATCTGTCGAAAAGTAACTAGAGCTCGGGAAGTCTATTGTTTATCTATTCTCCGATAGCTACGGGGCTTGGGAAGGAAACATATTCCTTCCCGCGTTTCTAGGAAGGGAAGGGAGGAAATGGACGGTTGGATGGTTGGATGGCGCGTTACTACTTACTTTAGTCCTTGATGTTATCGTGTACAGTATCAAGGTTTCGGTTAGGTTAATTACTACGAACGAGTATGCTTGGAGTCCGCGCATTAGTCATTAGGGGGATCAGATGGTCCCGGACAAGCAAAGGAAAGCAAGCAATTACTAGGTTAGGTACCTAGGTTAATGAAAACGTGGGTGGTTTTTTATTGTATTCAATTTATTGGAAGGTAGCTAGCTTATTTGATGTACGAGTGGTCGTGTTGTTTGGTAACTAGTATGACTATAAACCTAAGTTTCTATGTCTATGTCTCATGTAGTGGTGAACTAATCAAGTCTATGTGGGTTACGATAGATGCGTCATAATCTGTTAGTCGTAAAACGTATGTTGTTTGCGGGAACTTAAGTTCATCTTACGGTACCTAGGTATGCAGTTTCAATGTATACGTCAACAATTAACAGGTAACTATCATAAGTTGGATTAGGTAGGTAGGTAGTTTACATCCAGCATAGCAAATCGAGCTAGGGGGGCGGGCATCTTGATCTTGAGTTAGATATGCAAAGACGGGAACACGAAAAGGGGGTTGGTTACCTACCTGGTTAAGTAGATAGAAAGTCCTTTTGGTTTGTCGTGTCGTGAAATAAACTATCTTGTAAGACGACTATCTTAACCTAGGTAGTTATAGGAATTGTTAGCAAAACTAGGTAGATTGACGATGAAAATGTTTACTTTATACCAGGTAGATAGCTACCCCCGAGTGCCTGGATAGGTACCTAAGTCATCTACAATGCCGCAAACAGGTCTATGAACCACCAAATTAGAAAAATGCACCCTGGAATTACTGTACTACCCGATCTCAAGGATGATTAAGAGCCTCGTAGCTGACGGAAATTAGACCATCTCTTGTAACTAGCCCGCACGCAATGCTAATGTAAATGCTATTTATACAGCCATATCCGCGGACACTATTATACATCTCCTTAGGCTAAAAGTCGATTCTATTATATAACGTAGATTAGGTCAGGTACCTTAGGTAGGTAGTAGCTTGCATCATAAGATGTGGCCTTGGGGATTAAATTTCGGGCCGAGTCGAATATTGTATGGATTTAGAAATCTCCTCGCTGCTTCGATGGAAAAACTCCTAATATTAGTTTGGCATTGCTAAGTAGGAGAATCTTCGAAGAAGACCTAGGCTAATCATCGTACCTGGCCGGTCTGCGCCTGGTTCGCGAGCGGTCGATCGGTGAGTCATCATCGCTATCATCGGTACCGGCACCGGCGTGTCTGACCCCGTCGCTATCATTCCAACTTCCGCCGTTATATTCGTCATCGCCACTTGCGCCTTTCCTCGTGCGTCCTCTTCTAGATACGGGCCGTATGTCCGAGTCGGATAGGTCGAGCCCGGGGTATGCGATGCCCGAATCTGGCGTTGATAATGGGCTAGATTCTACCACGTCTTTGGCCTGTCGTCGGTTTCGCGCCACAGAAGGCGTCTCTCTGCCAGCGGCTGAATCTGAGTTAAGCTCAAGCCTGGCTTCCGTATGCTTAAAACGACTACTCCCTTGAGCGTTGCCTGGGGTGTTGCCCTGGACAATATTCTGTGCGCCCCCTATGACGACCGTGTCTCCTTCGCCTCCCTTGGCCTCGATGTTGGCTTCTCTCTCTCGTATCTCTTTTTCTCGCAGCTCTTTCTCTCGCAACTCTTGCTCTTTAATATGTTTCGGCTTCCTGCCCCGACGCTTGGGCATCGTTATAGGCTTGCTCTCTACCACCAAGGCTTTGTCAATTTCTTCAAGCGTAGCATCGTCAAGGAGTCTTCGTGGTTTCTTACGCTGCCGTTTCGGTGTTAGCTCAAGCTCATTGTCTTCATCCATCCCTTCGTCGGTTTCTTCGCGCCTAGCAGCTGAAGCTGGGAAACTCTTCCTAGCCCTTGGCGGGGCTCCCAACCGCTTCCTTAAGCGCGATGGTTTACGAGTGGGTGATCCTTCACCAACGTCTACCATTACATCGTCCTGAGAATCAGTCCTAGGGCGATACTCGCCCTCATCCGATTCTTCTTCATCGATAACAGCACGCTTGCGCTTGCGTCCTTTGGCGATATTGATGTTAAGAAGTGGCTCTTCCGTGGGTTCAAGAGCCTCGTCATCGTCTTCCGGTTCTGAATCGACTTTAGCAAAGGTTTTCTTTGGTTTGCGGCCCGGTTTACGCCCCGGTTTTCTACCTGGCTTGCGACCGGGTTTCTTTCTTGGCTTTTCAGCATCGTCCTGGCCCTTCTTGCGGGCTTGCTCCTTAGCCTTACGTCGCTTTTTCTCGGCTTTCTCTTCTTGCAAAAGTTTCTTAGTCAGATTTGGGAAATTCTCGCCGTAATGGAAAAACAGCTCTTCTCCGGCCTTAATCTCCCGCAGAGATGTGAACTTGATGCGATATTCGCCGTTGACATAGAGGATTCGCGGGGTAACATTACAGTTGGTTTCCTGGTGGTTGATATATCGACTAAGATTACCGTAGATTGCGGCGTCAACCCAAATTCCCTCCTGTTCTAGCAGGGTGAACAGATACGACGAATTGGATGACTCGTCGAATACGTCTCCGCGACGTGCCTCGCGGCGAACCCCTTCGTCCTGGCTAATGAGCTCACCAACATATTCGATGACAAACTCATCTTGTGCAATATCTTCCGTAGCGAAGAGTCCATAACCAGCAATCTTAGACCTCCCAAGCATAACTGATTTTGACCTGCCTCGCTGAAGTGCACAGTTTTGGCATCCAGTAGTATGTAGAGCATCATTATCTGCATTTGCTGGGTTGGCTCTCTCGGAAGCACCACAGCTCCCGCATAGAACAGGGTCACACTCGCGATTGAGCTGCACGCAGATGCAAGGCCGATCTTTTTGCTTAGGGACGCATGTCTTCCCATGAGAGTGACAGGCACAGCCGGTAAACTTGCTGGCGCAAATTGCTGCCGTGCATCGACAGAAGCGCTCGCACATAAGGCGGTTTTGGACGCACCTACAGTTCTTCATTGTGCAAGGCCCTTCATGGCTACAAGGATCAAAACAGTCCTTCCTCTGGTGCTCGTGAGTATTGGTATGATCTTGCCAGTCCCCTATGAGCATTTTCTTTTTCCTATCATACCAAGGCAGCGGTTTCACTTGGACCTGCGGCGTAGGGTCCGCGCTGGGAACAGTCAGATCAAGCTTATCGAGCTGACGACTGACATCCCAACAGGGCCGTCCGGTGGCCACAGAAGTAGCGCATTGTACCGGTATATTCGTGTTGCTCAACGTCGAGAAGAATGATCTGAGGAGCATTATTTCACTCTCACTCCATGCACGGGCTCGTGTTCCTGGGCGCCCATTCAAAAAGCAGTCATCGCCGCAAGGTTTTCTTGTTTTGCGAGATGTAGGGCTGTCTTCGATCCTTCCTTTGGATCTCTGCGTAAGCTGTTGGCGGATCATAGGCGACAAACCGCCAACTACCTCGATAGAGAATCGCTTCCGCTCGTTATCGACACCGTATTCGCCGTGTTCGCAGGAATGGCTGGTGCATATCAAGCAACCAAGCAGCGCGTAAGTTTCGAGAAAAGATTCAACCGTTGTATGCTCTTCGGTGACTTTCGATTGGCTCGGAGTATCCTTCATCCATTTCTTAGAATCGACGATGGTATCAACCGACTTATCTAGTAAGAGGACGTCGCGAAGAGGCACAGCGCGCTCGCGTAGAAGAGGCGAGTTGAAGACTCGATCGAATGCTTCTGTGAAAATTCTGACAGTTTTGGCCGATCGCGGAGACCCAGGCTCATCATTATATGAATTCAGGATACTCGACTTTTGCTGAGGAGTGACATTGTCACTCTGGCTAGCCATATAGCGGATAAGGGTGGTTTTAGTACAGTTCTCAATGTTGAGGCCAAGTCTATCTAGCCAAGAGTCGAGATATAATAATAAGGTAGTCGCACGCTCCTTTTGGATGGTCTTTGTCACCTTTTGGTGCCGACTTAGCGTGGCAAACCCAGATGTCTTGTCCATGTTTTCTAAATTTTCTAGCCAGCGCCGGTAGACGCCTTCTTCATTATCTGCCAGATCTCGTAGATGGGGGACGTAAGTAAGCATAGTATTTGGGGAAAGGATATTCTTCCTGATCTCAACGTGATGAAAGCCGTAGGACGGGACCTTCTCAGCATCGGTTTTAATGCAAATAACCTGATGCTGTTCTTTCCTTTCCTGTTTTCCAGATCTACCATGGCCAAATTGCTGTGCGTTTGTTAGCCTCCCACTCCTACTCTAGATGAGACCCGGGCTTTAGGATCTCGAATAGCGTGGACAGCGAGTCGTTGGGGACAAACCTTATACTTAATTTTTATCGTATCTGATGATCTCCCAACACCTTCTAGCGGGATGCGTTTCATATCCGCAAACCAATCCTTCTTACTCGTAAACTGCTGATTAGGCGCTTCCTTTTTCCAAGCTATGTGAATCAAGCGAGCAGTGAGCTTGGCGCCGTCTATGCCGATCTCTTCCGAGAACCCTCGCAAAGCTGCCACAACGTCATCGATAGACCAGAAAGATTTTTTCGGGGTTTGAATTTTAGGTGTTCGATGGCTTCCGGGTGGGTGGTGCTGACTTGATGAAGGTGTAGCATCTACGCCATTCCTAGAGCTGCCGCTTGATCTAACGGGCAAAGAAGCAGTCTTGCCATCTTGGTTTCCATGCTTCGATGCAGACCCCTTAGCGGACATAGGAGGAGTTGCAGCGCGAATCGATATAGAACGTTCCTCCATAGATGAAGGTTCCTGCTGTCCAGGTGACCTATCCGGAAGATGTGGACTAGTAGGATTACGATTTGCCCCTAACTGAGATTCAAATTGTGATAATTGCGATAGTTCTGATAACAAATGAGACTGAGACTGAGACTGAGACTGAGACTGCGACTGCGACTGCCCTTCTTGAGGTGTAATCTCTGAAGCATTATAATCATCAGAATCTGAAACCACGGCTGTCAAGTCAATAGGAACTCTATCCATCTCGTTAGAGCACCCGCTGCTAGGCTGCACACCCTGGACTCTGCCCCTGTTTTCAAATCCCAACTCCAGATTGGAATACTCCCAGAGTCCTCGTCCTCGTCCTCGTCCTCGTCTTCGTCCTTGAGTCTACCAAGGATGTGGTGGATATGACAGTGCTCCACCCATTGTCTATTGTCTATTCTTGGTAAGTGAATATGACCCCAAAGGTGATAATTGTGGCTGTTCGGTCCCAGATGTAAACGCGTCTCAAGTAATTATAAGAATATATTAAAAAGGGTTGGATTTAATATTTAATGTTTATGATAGAAAACTTGCGCCTGTATCGGATAAATCACAGGTAAATCACACCAGTGAAAAAGGAACTTACTATCGAACCTTTAAGAAGTTGAAGTGATGTTAAATTAATAGTTACGGGATAAAAGTGAATTTTATAAGTCTTGATTGACGCGTTTGATAAGATGAGACGACACGAGAAGGTGCTATCCTTATCTAATCTCTTATAATAGGAGTGTGGCTTCGTCTGTGGCTAGTATATTTAGCTCCAGGATACCTAGGTACCTACCTCACCTAGGAGGTAGGTGCACCTGTGAGGGCATTTACCCAATTATATTCCAGTTATTGATAAAGTCTTGTCTCTGCCTCTTAACACATTGATTGGATTATAGGTATCAGGTACTTGACCCAGATGTCTTATGTTAATATAATACCTACTATGCCGTATTCGATCATCAACTATACTCGAAAATACAAGTCTTAAACCTATTACACATAATACCTGGTTACTCTTGTTTTAACTGTGCTCATTCAATCAATCATTTAATCAATTACTTGGAGTGATGTAGTCATGTTATATACCAGGCCAGGATTTGATTGCCCGCTGTTTAAACTTTTCTCTTCCGAGTCAAGCGGCATCACACGTTCTGCTCTAAGGCAATTACAAGTTTCTTTCTTAGGCAAGAGCTAATTTGTACGCATGCGATCCGTAATGAATGATTAAGTGGAAGCACCTTCGAAGACGGCGTGAGCTCAAGACTTGTGCGCCCCAAAGAACAAGATCGGAGCTAGAGGTACGCTACCCGTTAGGTCAATGGCCATGTTAGGATTAGCTCTGCACGCTAAGAGCTGGAAAAACACAATTCGGTAGTGATGACGTAGCAGTAAGGGGACCAGCTCTCTTTTTTGTTCCCACTTTTTCGATTGTCTAACCCAAGCTCTTTGGCTCTAACAGCCCAAAACCTGTAGAGCCCCAAGACCATCCATGGGGCCACTGGGACACTGGGACAACATGCCCATCTTACCATCCAGCCTGCCAGCCTGCCAGCCCATCTTCCATTCAATGTTCTTATTCTTAAAAAACTACGAAAAAGGTGTGTGTACCTTACGTATGTGATCGCCCAAGACCCAAATCCGTCCGCTTCTTTTTAAACCGAAGATCTCAGAAGACTAGAAAGCTAAAAGTTACATCCACACTTTCACCATCTTCCTTACCTTTTGGAGTATCGCATTTCGTATTCCCGTTAATCAGCTCCAGTCTTCCTAGAACGAATATAGCAAAGTATCATAGCAGAGCATCAACCATCGCATCGCATTCTCCACCATAGTTGTCGACCCTCTTACATTGTCTCTATAACATCACAGCTATATCCTTATATCCTTCCCGAGCCGACCTTCCTAGTATTATTGCAATCTGCTCACTACTTGTTGCCAATCCGTCTCTCGCAATGCATCGAACATATTCTATGCGCCAGACTCGGGCGCCAACTGCCTCGCAGATTCAAGTAGGTCCCGTTGCCCAGTCAATGCGCTTTGAGGCAGACGCAGTGTTAACATTGTTGTCACAGAACCCCCCTCCCCCGCCATCGTCTACTAAGTCGGGTAGACTATTCGGAAGAGGCGGATTCGGTAAGTTTTCTCTGCACTTCCCCAACTTACGACCATACTGTCCACGATGGGTTCTATCCTTTCCAAACAAGGCCAGACCACTAACAAAAAGTATCAAGGACATGCGCTTCGTCGAAATGCCGCCGGCGCTTTCGGGCCTGACCTAGCCAAGAAGTTGACCCAACTCGTCAAAATGGAAAAGAACGTGATGAGGAGCCTGGAGCTTGTCGCAAAGGAGCGCATGGAGGTTGCTGTACGTGTAGCATACCCCCCCCAAAGATTGCGCGTGCTAAAAGGTTATATCTAGCAACAACTCTCACTCTGGGGTGAAGCTGGTGACGAAGACGTCTCTGACGTCACCGACAAGCTTGGTGTACTCATCTATGAAATTGGCGAACTTGAAGACCAGTATGTCGATCGATATGACCAGTATCGCGTGACCATGAAGAGCATTAGAAATATCGAGGCATCTGTGCAGCCTAGCCGAGACCGTGAGTACTCCTTGCAAGATCCCACCACAGAGATCCCACCACGGAGATGGATACCAGCTAACGCCATAACAGGAAAGCAGAAGATTGCTGATCAAATCGCCCAGCTTAAATACAAAGAGCCCAACTCACCCAAAATTGTTGTTCTTGAGCAGGAACTTGTTCGCGCCGAAGCTGAATCGCTTGTGGCCGAGGCTCAGCTATCTAACATTACTCGTGAGAAGCTAAAGGCAGCATACACCTACCAGTTTGACGCCCTACAAGAACACTGCGAGAAAGTTGCAATTATCGCCGGCTATGGCAAGCACCTCCTCGAGCTCATCGACGATACGCCCGTGACTCCTGGCGAGACTCGTGCTGCCTACGACGGCTACGAGGCCAGCAAAGCCATCATTCAGGACTGCGAAGATGCACTAACTAACTGGGTGTCATCTAACGCAGCCGTGAATCCAAAGCTATCTACACGAGCCCGCACGCTTTCCATGCGCCGCCGAAACAACATCAAAGCTAGATCAGAAGGCTTGGATCTGTCTGCCCAGGACGCCCCGCTTAACGACCGCGAGTCCTGGGTTGCAGCTGGGGAGCACCGGAACCACGAGTATGAGGAGGAAGAGGAGCAGGAGGACGACCAGGCTCATTCCATTCTGGATTCTGACAGCGGCTTGAACGGCGAGCAGCATCGAGGCCGCGCCCCTGAGATGGCTGCCTAGTAGGCTGCTTAATTACCCATCTCAGGCTCCAGTGGCTGACGGTAATTCACTAGTAATGTCTAATACGAGGAAAGGTTTATGCAGCAGGTACAGGCGAGGTGGGACACGGTGGTAGTATAGCACTCCTGGGGGCACATGACACGACATTGCAGCACACTGATTATTGATTCCGGTCTCGAGGAGACCAACTTACTTACTTGTCCTTTTGAGCACTGCTTTGCCTGGATGAAACAATAGGATGAATGAACAACGACGGGACAGGGCGGTGACGAACAAACACGCACACACATATACACACGTAATGGGAACTGGACAGCACGGATGAGGGGATGGGGGAGAGCAGAAAACAAACACTTTGCAAATAACACAAGGAACGGTGCTTATCTTACCTTACCTTACCTACTTGCTACATGCCCCCTTAATACACTCCTCCTTGCGAACAACCAGGCAACAAACAGTGTTTCCTTTTTCTTCTTGTCCCGTCTTGTACTTATAGTGAATGAGTGGCAACACAAAAAAAAAAAAAAGAGAGAGAGATCTGGCCGTGCCTTTGTAGGAATGATGATATACGAGATGAGCTTTCAAGCAAGAGCAAACAACGCACCAAAAATTCCTATTTGCAATTACCGTGGCCCTGCGCGTCAAGTTTACATGTTGTCTGTTGTCTCGTACTTTGTAATCAGTTGCGCATTCGTGCCGTAATAGAGGCCCTGATATACTTAGGTATATGTAGGTAGGATGGTAATGCACAAGAACATGCCTACCTCTGAAAAAGGGGCCCTGATAACTATGGAGTTAATAGTTCACGTTTTGATTGCACAACTGGTCCCGAATTAACTACCTACTCCAGTGTCTAACTTTTCTTGTACCCCCCCCCCCAAAACCATACCTCGAATATGGTGGCTATAAAATTATTCCACCTCTCCTTGCCGAGGGTGTCGTATTAGGTACTTATGTAGTTCCTTCTTAGAAAGATGAAAGGCCCAATCTTAGGGCGCCCTCCCTACAGGTAATATTACAACTCGAAGGGTAAATCTACTTCTATAAGCTATATTATAAAATACCAAGCAAGTCAATAAGCAAAAAAGCATCTCGGATCCCGTAGCCTCAACAGTTATATATCTAACACACAGAACTCATACCTTCGTATTCTCAGCAACCCACGACAAGAAATAACTTATTTATTTCGTAATACATAGAAAAGCCCCAATTCCGTCATGCCACCGGGACCCTGACATAGACATAATTCAATCCTATACTTCCACTCGATCTATCTTACCTTTTACACTTGATCCTGTCTTTGTCTTATATCTAAGTATACGCCGCCCTGTTCCCTAGCAGGGTCTTTAGGCTCTTCTCGCTGGCCAATTCCTGCTTGCCGCGGCCGTCCATTCCCAATTTCTGCTTCAGGCGACGGACTAAGCTACCGCTCTCTGGACGGGGAGGTTCCATACCAAATGATCGGCCCATGTACGGTCCCTCGTCTGTAAACGCTACCCTCTGTGCCCTTGCCCTGCGGTTCTCCCACCCGTCCGTTGGACTATCGGTCGCGTGGTATATAGCCACAACTTGTCCACCTATATTGAGGAATGACCCATGGCCTGGCCCAAAGGGACCGGTACCATGTCTTCGCGTCTGGACGAGCGGCTCTTCTCCTTTCCGCCACGAAGTAGGATCTAATGGGTCACCACCTATATACTGCAATAACCCCATCTTGTATTCATGGGTCCAGCTACCGGCACACGAGTAGACTAAACCCTGCCAAGAGATACCTCCGTCGGGTGAGCTCAAGAACTGCGGCCCCTCATTGATGCCATGGTCCGTGCCGTTACCTTCGCGTGTAATTTCCCAGGGATGCTGCGGGCGGGATATGACAATGGCAGGACTTGCAGCGCTCGTCGGGTCCTCAAGTTTCATAATATACAGCTGCTGTATGAGATCGGACGAATCATCAGGGTCATCGAGAGGCCAACCCGAATATACAAAGTACAGATGCCCATTCATCTCGAATACAGTACCGTCGATCGCCCAGTGGTCCGGCATCTCATTAATACGACCTAGGAATTCCCACTGACCCCGGCAAGGGTCCTCGGATGCCGGTGGCCCTCCCAGAACATACATCCGGTGGCTCTTGTTCCCATGAGCCGGGTTCGCAGCGGCGTAGTAGACGTACCATCGGCCATGCAGAGCATGAAGTTCGGGGGCCCAAAGATCGGCGGAGTGGTCGGTGCCCTGTGGAGGAGTCCTGGCGTTGAAGTCAGCGACATGACTGGCTAAAAGGGATATGCCATTAGATTAGGTAGAGTATACCAAATTATATGTCTAGCAGCAGAGCTCTCGATGTCAGCCAGGCTACGGGATGACCATATCTCGACTCTATTTCCGGCAGTGAAGGTCTTGGTATGAAGTTAGTAGTGCCACCCTATCAAGAACATACAAGGTAGTGGTAGTGCAGGTAGCCTACGAGGTAATAGCGGCCTCTGAAGAGGGTTACGAAGGGGTCCGGAGTGCCGATAGAAGTAATGGTGAGAGTCGAGTTGTCGTATTGCATAGCTGCGGGATTCTCCATCGACATTATCGAGGCTAACGCGCGGCTCGCACCCGCTAGGGCGTCCCGGAGAAAGATATAGAGCATTTGCTCCTCTTGATTGACTTTCGGCTGGTGACGTAGATTTAAAACTGTGCTTGTTTCAGTATGGCCGATCTGCGAGTACGAAATTAGGTTTCATTCGTAAGATGAAAGAGGAAGAAAAGGTTAAAAGTTGTGATTAAGATAAAGAACAAGTGGCTATCGTTGGATTTCTGGCTGCTATAAGGTTATAGGAGGTTGTCTAACGACGGTAGCTGACGACGCGAGCGGAGAAGGTGGACAAGATCACAGCCTGTCTTTTGGAGGTTGATTGTACATGACCAGGTGATTAATCCAGTCAATCCAGTGTCACAGGTCGAGGATGTGAAGCAGACACGAAGGTATGATTTGGAAGATGACTCGATATTTAACAAAATTCCAAAATTTATGTGTAACGGACGACATCGCAGTTGCCCGAACATGACCGCGTAAGTTCCTCCTTTCCCCCTTAGCTTGCTTTTCCCCCTCCCCTTCCCCCCCTTATTCCCCTTATTCCCCTTCTTCTACTTCTGCCCCTTGCCTTCCGTTCCCTTCCACCTTGGATACCTAAGGTTACTTAAGGTACCTACCTCTTAAACTTCCCAAACTTCCCAATATAAATTCTTACTCACTTCATCCTGTAACCATCATAGTGGGTTTCCAGTATACCATTTATAGTTCCCGGTTGCACAACGACAAGATACATCCAATTGTGTTCCAATGGCATAACAAAAAACCAATCCGTCCCAGCGCCGCGCTCCGCTTAGCCCAATATCCCTAATCCTAAAATAAATCATTTTGCATAGAGAGCGTGCCTCCCAAACGCCCTCGGTAAAATCAATGGTATAATGACAAATGAACAGGCAGTCAGTCCGACGTAAAACTCATTTCTAATCCATGCAGCCTCCTCGAGGCAGCTCAGTCTTTCGAAGCATGGCATGATCCATTGCTTATAATGCAAACATCTGCGAATATTTGCGAACGTTGTGAAGAGCGAAACCAAAAGTAACATCTCAGTAAAAGTCTCCGGCGTAGGCATGTTCTGCCTCCCATTTGAGGAAATCTCCCAGGTCGTGTCCAAGGTTATATCCCATCGGGACAACATCCATGTCGTCCCCGTCCGAGCTTCGAATAACTCGGAGGTCCAACATCGGGCTCTGTGGAAGACTAGCATAGCTCTCCCGGCTATTATATTCCTTGGATTGGTCAAACATCTCATCGTCTAGACCCATCCTCGAAGTATCTAGCTCAAGCCCGGATATATCGTAGTCGGGCTGGTGGATTTCAGGTACGGTCTTCTGCCCGGGTGTCTGCCAGTCGTAATGCTGGTTGTATGGGTTGTCATCCTTCTCGGTCTCGTTGTATGACACTTCCGAGCAATCCTCACCTGAAGTCATGCTCATAGGGCTATCGGCTTCAATAGGGTGGTCTAGGAGCCCTCCGGGGCTGCTGAACTTCCATGACCCAAACCATTCCACAATCTCCGCTGCCTCTTCCGCCTCTCTGCGGCGGATGGTGTCATCGCTTTCGGAGAACCAGTCTCCGGCGCCCCCAGAAATAGCCATCTGGAATGCTGTCCAGTCTAGCCCGTCATCCGCCCCGATTTTAACATCTGCTATCAGATCACACTTGGCTAGTCGGATCGGGCCGTGTCGGAAAATAGGGCTGGTCATGGAACATGGTGATGATTGAAGGAAAACGTAATTTGAATCTGCGACCATATCTCGGGAATATCTGAGATCGTGGCCGGCGAACAATTCATTTGTGGGTGTCAAGATGGCTGCCGTTTCTGGGATGCTAGGTAATGATGCTTTCTGGCTTCTCGCAGCAAATCGTGCAGCCTGTCTCATTGGTGGCGTTTGGAAAGTGGCATTTTTGTTTTGCGCCGGTTCTTCTCCTATATCCGTCTGTAATGCCGACGTTGATGTCGACACCGGAAGCTCGATAGGGCCATATTCATTGCGTCCCTCTGTAGAAAAATCCCTCCAGGCAACAGGGTTAAATTGTAATAATATACGTTTTTCTTCAGTTGGTGTATCAAGGTCGAGTGACATACCGGCCGATCCAATTCGGGAAGACAGGTCTTCAAGGTGAAAGGGCTCGATCGGCGTATCGCTCGACTCAGTGTCAATTGTCTCGATTGATCTCTCGGACTGTGTTGACTGTGTTGGCTGTGATGGCTGAGTCGATTGGGTAGGCTGTGTAGGTTGGGTTGCCTTGGCCGATTTTTCTGACTGCATTGTCGATATCCTACGCAACCTGTACTCTTCTAATTGGTCCGGTGTGAGCATTTCATCCACCTCGATCTTCTGGAAGAGTTTCCCACTAAAAAGATCAGTCACATTGTCCGAGAAGTTCCATATTGGGCCGCTCTTCGCCGTCGACTTGGACGCGGCAGGCTTCCGACTCGGCTTCATCGCCTTCGCCTTCTTAGACTTCTTCGACCTCTTCCTCTTAACCCCGTTGTTCACTGATGGATTCCGTCGGGGTGAGTAGACGGGAGCGGCGGCGGGTTTGGGTGAAGGGACGCTTCTCGGGGAAGCAACTGCTTGAGGTCGCGGACTCTCTGCTCGAGCCTGAGAAGCTAAAGGTGCTGGTTTTAGAACAGGCGAAGATTCAGGCGTAGGAAGCAATGGTAATGCTTTTGTCGAATTGTTTGTGACTTGAACTTCAACGAGAGCGTTGCCGACTGCTCTGAATGCCTCATCTGCCTCTTGTATAAGTTGCTGAATATTATCTGTAATACTTGAGAATGATTCCTGCCGTTGCAGGTGCTGTTGTAATGTTGCCGCTTTATTCTCTGGTCGTAGAGATAAACCTTCTATGTAATCCAAATTCGAACTTGATAGTTCCGCCTGACGTCTAAGGGAATCTGGCGACTCGGAGTAGCTCTTAGGAGGAGGCGGCGGTGGAAAGTCGTCGCCTCCATAGCTTGTCACACTAGAAAGCTGGAGTGATTCTTGGCTCCTATCTTCCTTTGACGATATAGAACAAAGAGGTGACTTAGACCTCTTTGAGTCGATTGATTGTGATAAGTAAGAGTCGTTGTGGCGTTCACAACTATTCAAGGAACTAGACCTGGACCTCGGCGGCGTGTCGTATGGCGGCATGTCGTATGGCGGCAATGGTGGCAGAGGATCCAGAATGTCATGAATGCTTTGTTCCCTACTAACTATAATCGGTGGCGGCGGCCGTCTCTTACTGTAGGTTGTCCGCCTCTTAGGGAGTGTACTACTGTCATTCCGTCCCGTCCTTTGATCCCATCTTCCGGTATCAACCGAAACCCCATCCTCAAATTCATCTTGGACTCGCCTTGGAGATATGAGCCTCCGAATGCTAACGCCTGATCTGGATAGCATCGTGTGTGGAGACAGACGCAAGAGAAATCAGACAAGCAGAAGGAAACCAGCATCTGGGATCTGGGGGAGAGGACTCGACATATATTGAAGTGGGATCTACGTTTGGTGGGTGACACAAGGCTTTGCAACCAAGGAAAAGGGCCAGCTGCATGCTACATATGCTACATACCTTAGGTAGGTATGCTACATAGTGATGATTACTTGAGCGTCTTGTCATTCGACACCATGCAGTGGCACATGTACTTAGGTAGTATACATGAGAAAGGAAGGCATCTTAACGGAATGCGGCGGACTATCCTGGTCACTTAGCTTCTCCGCTGCGTATCTCACTTAGAGTACTCTTGTACGGCGTACGCGAGTGTGGCTCTGCGTGTGAAGGAGGCCCTGCCAGCCTGCGACCCTGCCAGCCTGCGGAGCGGGAAACAATGGGGGTCCTGCAGAAAAGAGACAAGCCTGGGCAGCCCAGTTTGGAGCAAGGACCTAAGGACCTAACCTAGGGACATCGTTATTTTTATCAATTATTGGTCCACCCGGGAATTACTTGGAATTACTTGTTGCGCAATTCATGTTTCTGTATGGGCTTTTAGTCCCTGCTCGATACGGATCGGCCGGGATATTGGTGACGATACGTACTCCGTGAGCTGATCTGGATCATGGCAGCAGGGAGCTAACGACTGTTCATGATGACACGCCAGCCGAGCATCAAAGTAGAAGTTCAACTGCCATGTCAGATATGCTATCGTGAGGTTACATCCCTACGGGGGAAGTGGATCGAATACTGTCGCAAAACGGACAAGATAGGCATATTTTGAATATTTTGAAATGATGACCATCATGCCTCGCTATTGAGTATGTATTTCGCTAGTTCAACTAGGTAGCGGACAACATGCGGTGGTTTCCTGCCCAGGGTTCATCCCACTCGCGATCATCTGGATTACACGTGCGCCTGTCTCGCAGTACGCAGTAATACGTAACCGGACAGCAGGACACTGAAGTATTTCCTAAGATCGCGATAGTAGAAATAGACCCGGAGAGAGGCTCGACGGGCGCGATACTCAATGGGCTACCGAACTACAGAGTACGATATCTCCGTTGTACAAAGGCCAGCGGGAGGTCGGTATCGGATCCTGGTGTACCTAAAGGTATTCGGCACCGATTACATTGGGAACTTCCCATTTGAGGGGTAACTGGTGACATGAGTTGGAGGGTTGGAGGGTACGGACCAGGGGACGAAACTCTCTAGCTGATGTAGAAAGGTAGAAAAGTAGAATGGGATGCTACGTAAGATGGCCAAGGAATCGAATGCCCCCTTGAACAATATGGACCTATGCTCTATTAGGTACCTAATAGAGACATTCGACTCGCGCAATATTCCCGAATTCATAAATCGCATCCGCTATGGGAAGCCACTTAATAAAATAAATTGACTGAAGGCGAAGACGTATTGAAACGGCACTCCTACCAACGCCGAGTCTTTAAGATATTTCAGCTAGGCCCGGGACAGGCCAGGCAGACGGATCGGTCCAAGCCAATTGAATTGAGAGGCCGAAGAAATGAAGGGCTACACATAATCCGAGTAGAGGGTTAAAGAGAATTATGGTCGTACGAAAAGCACCTAGGTGTAACGTATCGAAGAAGCGAAGACACATTTGGTTAAGAGAAAAAAGGTTAGGTAGACGCATCTGAAGCATAGGATGGATGATAGAAATTTAGATGTGCTATTAGGTTTTTTTTTTTTTTCTCTTTTTTCTTTTTTCTTTACAAGGGTTGAAGGTTGACGGTTCAAGGTTGAAGGGTATAGAATTACCTAAACGCCCCTCCTGCCCCTCCTAAGCTAAGGAACTCACTCCCTTGAGTTTAACAGTTTAGCGTGAACCTTTTCCTGCCTTTTCAGTACATATGTACGTACCTAGGTACAGATGGGGTTCTCCACCTTTTGTTTTACAGTATTATTACACATGCAGTTAATGAGATCGAGAAGCCATGCCTGCCAATCACACGTGAGTCCAACAGCCCTTCATATATCGAATACGTACATACCTACGTACATATGTACATGTACGTAATGTACAAACAGCCCTACCTGCCCGCTTCCCGCCTACGTAACACATTGATGTAATACACCTACATCTACACTTACATATACAAAACATAACCTACAGTAAGCACATAGCACGAGACA